CTTTGTGAGGAATGAAGAAATGGACCATGCCTTGGCGCTTGCCACCCCCTTCTGCCAGAGACCTCAGATCTGTCCCACTCCTGCCCAGGCCCCCACAGGCACCCTTGATGCGAACGATGTAGAGCTGGCCATGCCCACCCAGTAGGCCACACCCACTCCTGCCACGCCCACCCAGTAGGCCGCACCCACCCGGCCTCCGAGGGCAACTGCAATGCTGATACGGCCCTTGAGTTTGACACCCCTGACATAGATGCACAAATCCGTACACAGCAGCTGAGAATGGCATGGTTGAAATACGGAATAGAGTCTTGTAGACCATGACAGATTCACTGCTGGAGGATTCTAGTCTGAGCAGGTCATATTGGAGCGAAGTCATGTTGACTGCTAATTATTTGGTCAATAGACTGTAAAGTTCCTCTATACAGTAAATGATACTCCATATGCTGTGCTATATGGGAGAAAGCCATCTCTAGCACATTTAAGGGTGTTTGGAAGCAATGCATGGGTGCATATTCCAAAGGCAATCAGGAGAAAAGGGCAACCAAAGGCTAGAAAGCTTAGTTTTATGGGCTATGAGCCTGGCTCAAAGAGCTATCGCTTTAGCGATGGAAGCAGAAGGATAGTAATTTCCAGATCTGCTAGCTTTGCAGGACAGAATTGGGGCAGAATTGTTGCCAATTCTGGGATGATTCACTTAGTGACAGTGACTCACATAATGATGGTGTCGGCATTCAGGGAGGAGAAGCTGAAAAAGAGCAAGAAAAGGAGTCAGAAGAAGATGGTGATGTGAAGCAGGAAAGGGTTGACAGTCAAGAGCAGCCAATCCCACGCAGGTCAGTGTGAAGGAACAAAGGGATTCCACCTGATGTCATGGTTCCGACAGATGAAACTCTTCAAAGAACTTCGAGGCATTGTTTACCTTAAAGAATCTTTATTCAAGAAGCATAACATTGGCACTAACATAATTGAAGCCAAAAACTGAATTCTCCCCCTTGAGCACATAGTATCAAAGCACAATTCCCTCCCCCAATTAACTGTCATAAATCACATTCCCCAATTAGTTTAAAGCGCGGGTTTTCCCTCCAGCTCTCCAGCCCACCAATTCTTATCATCTCTTATTTCAACAACCTTGATTCTCACGCTAGGTTCAGTATTATGTCTAGCTCAGTGGTTCTCAACCTTCCTAATGCCGCAACCCCATGCACCCACGTGACCACACGTGACCCACATGCACGCACCCACATGACCACACGTGACCCACACGCACGACCACACGTGACCCAGGAGCATAGAGATGGCTCTCCTGCTCGAGCTAGAGCGACCCCCTCAGCCAGCCGAATCTCGCCACCGGGAAGGAGAGGAGAGAAAAGAATGGGAGAGGGGACAGGAGAGGGGGAGAAAGGGGGGTAGAATTTAGAAAAGAAAAGGAAAGAAAAAGAAACTTTTGTGCGGAGCTGGCAATCGCGGAGCAAGACGCCTGTTTGGTGTGGAGGCAGGCAAGCCCAGGCACTCCTGGGCGGCCATGGCAAGCGGCAGCGACGACGCAGGCCGACCACTGGCTGGGCCACCAGCTGGCCCAGCCCAAGAGAGGTAAGGCACCCGCCGGGCCCCACGCATGCCAGCAACCCTCCCTGCGCCTGCCGCTGCTCCGCTAGCCTTACCTTGGCCGCCGCATGTTTGGTGTGGCGGCAGGCCGGCAGGCCCAGGCGCTCCTGGGCAGCCATAGCACACGGCAGCGAGGGCGCAGGGTGACCACTGGCTGGGCCACCAGCTGGCCCAGCCCAAGGGAGGTAAGGCACCCGCCGGGCCCCACGCGCACCAGCAACCCTCCCTGTGCCCGCCGCTGCTCCGCTAGCCTTACCTTGGCCACCGCACGTTCGGTGCAGCAGCAGGCCGGCAGGCCCAGGCGCTCCTGGGCGGCCATAGCACACAGCAGCGAGGGCGCAGGGCGACCACCAGCTGGGCCACAAGCTGGCCCAGCCCAAGGGAGGTAAGGCACCCGCCGGGCCCCACACGCACCAGCAACCCTCCCTGCGCCCGCCGCTGCTCCGCTAGCCTTACCTTGGCCACTGTACGTTCGGTGCAGCGGCAGGCCGGCAGGCCCAGGCGCTCCTGGGCGGCCATAGCACGCGGCAGCGAGGGCGCAGGGCGACCACCAGCTGGGCCACCAGCTGGCCCAGCCCAAGGGAGGTAAGGCACCCGCTGGGTCCCACGCGCGCCAGCAACCCTCCCTGCACCCGCCGGCTTCCCACCTCCCACCCCTGGCCCTCTTTTACTTACATTTAGTAGTGCTCAGCAGGGAGGGGTGGAAATGTCCAGAAAGCTCGCCTTAGCTGCAGACAACTTGCAGCACTGCTTGCAGACTGGGACTTTTGGCGGGCTCAGCAGGGCAGAGACAGCCTGGACAATTCCTATTGGCTTTTGAAAGCCAATAGAATTAGACTCTTTTAAAGAGAGTCTATTCTATTGGCTTTCAAAAGCCAATAGATTCTATTGGCTTTCAAACGCCAGTAGAATAGAGTCTCTTGAATAGAGTCTATTCTATTGGCTTTCAAAAGCCAATAGAATAAGAGGGAGTAGCACAGCTAAGGAAAAGGGGAAAAATGGCGGGGGGAAAAAATGGTGGACTGCGTTGTTTGGCGACCCCAACTGGTCTAGCTGAACTCTCATGCACATCCCCCCCTCCCCAGCATCATCTAACTCTAAAAGCGAAAAGAAGAAAATGGCTGCATCTCCATCTGTTGTCAAAGCAAAAACATCTGATGTTAGCAGCGTTGATATCCGGCCCCCCTTACAAAAAGGACAGATCCTGTAACGTAAACAAAAGCACATGTCAGGGATTGCCTTTTGGTTTATTAGGGTGTTTCCTATAGAACCTGTTAATGAATCTGTCAGCTTTCACATCGCTAGACTTCACCCAAGTGGCTTCAGACAGCGAATATCCCTTCCATTGTACTAAGTATTGCAATTTTCCTTTAAAAATTCTAGAATCAAGAATACGCTTTACTTCATAGTGGGTCTGTCCAGCTACCACAAGGGGTCCGGGTGCCTTCTTAGGGGAAGGTCTTAAAGTGGAACCCTGAAAAGGTTTCAGCAGGCTGCAATGGAAAACAGGGTAAACTTTTCCTAAGAGCTTAGGGAGTTTTAATTCCACTGTGACCGGGTTAATGGTCTTTACAATGGGGAAAGGCCCCAAGAATGTTGGTCCTAATTTCTTACTGGGTAATTTGAGCCATAAATACTTAGTCGACAGATAAACCTTTTCCCCAACTTGGAATATTCTTTGAGGAGCCCTTTTTTATTTGTAGGTCTCAGAAGCCTTTTTTAAAGCAGTCTTTGTCACTTTCCAAACTTCATCCCACCCCGTCACCCATTGATCAAGTGTCTGAGATGTGGAGGGCGCCTGGGGATATTCGGGTATTGGGCTGAGTTCTTTTCCTATGGCTACTCTAAAAGGTGTGAAGCTGGTGCTGCTGTGAACAGAGTTATTGTAAGCCACCTCAGCGAAATGGAGGAGGTTAGTCCAGTCTGTCTGTTGGTAGCTGACATAGCATCTGAGATATTGCTCCACCATAGAGTTAGCGGATTCAGCGGCCCCATTAGAAGGATGAAAAGCAGTTGATAGACCTTGAGATGATCCAATTAGTTTAAGAAAGCTTCTCCAAAACTTAGCTGTGAACTGCATACCCCATCCGAAATTATTCGTTTAGGGGCGCCATGTAGCTGGTAGATGTGTTTCAAGAACAATTTAGTCAGTTGTTGGGAGGATGGGAGCCCTTTGCAGGTGATGAAGTGAGCCTGCTTTGAAAACAGATCTATCACAGTCCAGATGACTGCATTTCCTCTACTTTCAGGTAGATCTACTGTAAAATCCATAGCAATTTCTTCCCATGGTTGAGAAGGGTCTGCCACCAGCTGCAATAACCCAGGGGGTTTCCCTGGAATTCTTTTCATGGTGGCACATACAGCACAACTCCTGACATAGTTTTCTATGTCCCATTTTAATCCCGGTCACCAAAATTGCCAGCGGATGAGATGTAGAGTTTTTAAACATCCAAAGTGTCCAGTATGTTTTAAATCATGGCCATGTCAGAGAGCATTAAGACAGAGGGTTTCTGGCAAGTATAACTTTCCCCCCTTGTAAGCCAAACCATCCCTGCAAGTTAGGGAGGTTTGATTGTCCTTGAACCATTGATCGGTGAGGAGCTCTTGTTTTATTTTCTTTGCCCCAGGGTCATCAGGATTAGGGGCTCTGCGAGGTGTGAGTTGAGCAGCAGTTTGTGGATTGGAGATAATTGCCTCATTAACCTCCTTACACTGGCTTTTGTACTGGGGCAGTCTGGATAGACCATCAGCTAGGAAGTTTTTCCCTCCCGGTATATACTTTAGAGTGAAGTTAAAATGGTTAAAGTACTGTGCCCATTGCACTTATTTCGGGGACAATTTGCGGAGAGTTTTCAGTGCTTCTAGATTTTTGTGATCAGTCCATACTTCAAAAGGCATCTTGCTCCCTTCTAGGTAGTGCCTCTAGTTTAATAGAGCCCAGCAGATTGCAAAAGCCTCCTTTTCCCATATTGCCCGCCTCCTCTCACTCTCAGTGAATTTTTTCGAGGTGTAGGCACAGGATTGTAGGGTCCCACTTTGGTTCTTTTGCAGTAGTACAGCTCTGACGGCCATTAGAGGACCATTATCCAATACCAAGACATCTGGAAGACCATGGGCAGCAAAAATGCTTCTCAACACCTGGATGATCTTAGCAGTAGTGGTGGATGACACAGGCACAACCTCCAGCCATTTGGAATGGCTATCTACAACAACCAGGAAGAATTGCCCCTGAAAGGGCCCAGCGTAATCTATATGTATTCTAGACCATGGAGTGTGTGTTTCCTCCCACCTATGAACAGGGGCCTGAGGCATTTCCGGCCTGGACTGCTGACATGCATGACACCCATGTACCTGGGCCTCAATGGCTTTGTCAATGCCAGGCCACCACAAATGGCTGCACGCAAGCGCTTTCATCTGGACAATCCCCGGGTGACCCTCATGTAAGGAAACTAAGATTCTCGACCTCAAGGAGGCCGGAATCACAACTCTCGAACCCCAGAGGAGGCAGCCATTGAACGTGGACAACTCGCACCTCTTGACCCAAAAGCTTTGGAAATCCTCCTCTGGGCATCTGTCAGGCCAACCTGACAGCACCCATGTCAGCACGCATTTAAGCATGTGATCAGTGGCAGTTTCAGCAGCCACATCCCTAGCGTTAAGGGGAGACTCCGGCAAATCCTGAATGGACAATATATGTACAGCAGGATCAGGCTCCACAGCAGGCAAGGGCAGTCTACTTAGGCCATCAGCATGACCCATTTCCTTTCCAGGTTTGTGAACTAGCGAGTAGTCATAAGCTGACAAAAAAATGGACCATCGCAGCATGCGAGGGGAAAGGATGTGTGGGGTCTGTTTGGACGTAGTAAACAACCCCAGCAAAGGCTTGTGGTCAGTAAAGACTGTAAAAGGGCGGCCATAGATAAAATCATGGAATTTTTTAATTCCAGCCACAATAGCCAAGGCCTCCTTGTCAATTTGAGCATAGTTACGCTCAGCAGCAGATAAGGTCCTAGAATAATATGCCACAGGGACCTGAGTCCCATCAGCCGTCAAATGGCTAAGCACAGCCCCCACACCATAGGGGGAAGCATCACAAGCCAGACATACTGGCAGCTTTTTGTTAAAATGAGCTAATACCGCATTGGATGTAAGCAAGGCCTTAACCTCATTGAAACTAGCCTCATGGACCTTAGACCACTGCCAACAGGCATTTTTATCTAAGAGTCTGTGTAGGGGCTCAGCAACAGCAGCTTTATGAGGCAGAAAAGCATGATAGAAGTTCAATAAGCCCAAAAAGGCTTGCAATTCACCCTTAGACTTAGGGCTTGGGGCCTGCTGAATAGCTTTGAGCTTAGCATCAGAAGGGTGGATACCCTGAGCACCTATCCTGAACCCCAGGAAATCAGTGGAATGGACACCAATCTTACACTTGTCCTGTTTTAACTTAAGGCCTGCTCTTTGGAAACGAAGCAAAACAGCCCTCAACCTTTCTGCCAGCATTTGAGGTGAGTCCCCTGCGATGAGGACGTCATCAAAATAAGGACACACACCAGGAATACCCCTCAGGGTGTTTTCCATTATGCTTTGAAAAATGCCAGGGGCTACATTCACCCCAAACTGCAACCTTTTCACCTTGAAAGCCCCTCTATGGGTAACAATAGTTTGAGCCTCTGCTGCTGCATCATCAACAGGCAACTGTTGATACGCTTGAGCCAGGTCTAGCTTAGCAAAAATCTTACCCTCTTTAAGAGAAGCCAAAATGTGGCTCACTACAGGCACAGGATAAGCATGTTGCTGTAGGGCCTTGTTTAGTGTGCACTTGTAGTCTGCACAAATACGAATGTCCCCATTTGCCTTCAAAGGCGTGACAATGGGAGTTTCCCACGGGCTGGAGTCTACAGGCTCTAATATGCCTTGCTGGAGCAACTTGTCCAGTTCAGTATCAATTTTACTCTTAAGAGCAAATGGTACTCTCCTAGGTTTAATCCTTATTGGCTGTACAGTTGGATCCAGCTTTAGTGAAACTGGAGGTCCCTTGTAGGATCCTAGCTCAGAGCTGAACACATCTGCAAACTCCTTGCAGACGCCTGCTAGGGTCTCTGTTTGCAATTTGTGCAGCCCTGTTACCTGGATTCCTAAAGCCTCAAACCAATCGAGTCCAATCAGACTCGTGTGCTCACCCCCAACAACCAGCACGTCTAAGGGGCCTTCAAAATTCTTATACGGTACCTTAAGGGTGGCCTCCCCCTTAACGCACACCTTGGAATTTTGAAAATCAGTAAGAATTACATTAGAAGGCCTGAGCGAAGCTCGCTGGCCACTGCTGCTACAGATTTTGTGAAATGTGTTGAGGGAAATTATGGATAGGGCAGACCCCATGTCTAGTTCCATAGACAATGGAACTCCTTGCAGTCTTACTTTAAGGGACAATTTCTTTTTAAGGGGTTTGTGTGTGCCTGTTCTTAATATATTTCTGCGTGTTGCACAGAAACCCACCCTGTTTTGGCTGGGGACCCTGGTACCTTTCAGATTCAATTCTTCCTTCGGTTGTACCTTCTGTCTACCCAGGCAAACCGCAGGGATGTGGCCTGCCTTTCCACACGCTCGGCAGATGGCGGAACGGAACCGACATTCCGCTCGCTTGTGGCGACCTCTGCATCCGAAGCATCGAAGCTCAGCTGGGCCTTTGTCCGGACGATCTTTTGGCCTCCTTCCGGCTGCTTGATAAAGCTTGTCCACTTCATCTTCAGGATCCTCTTCCGAGTCCTCCCACACGTCCTCCTTGTGGATGGTCGCAGTCTCTGGAGCGCTTCGAGTGGGCCGCAGATTCTTTACCGCTTTGCCTGCAACTTCCTCTGCCGTAACCTCTCTCAGAGCATCTTGGAAAGAGACATCTTCCTTAGCAAACAGCTTCTGCTGTAAGTCTCTGTTCCTCAGTCCGCATACAAAACGATCGCGCAGCCTTTCTTCTAGATCCTTGAACTCGCACGGTTTACCCGCTCTTCTCAAGGCTGCAATAAATTCTTTTGCTGATTCCCCAGCTCGCTGATCTCTCAATTCAAATGTGTGCCTCCAACCAATAACAGATTGCTTGGGCTGGAAGTGTTCTTTCAAAAATTTCTTTAGATCAGAGTATGAAACATTTTCTAGCGAGGCCGGGGCGACTAGATTCTCGGCGATCTCAAAGGCATCTTGCCCACAAACGCACAACATTGTGGCAGCCTTTAGTCCATTTTCCCTTATCTGATTCACGCGGAAGTAAGTCTCCACCCTTGCAACATAAGATTCCCATTTCTCCGGGTAAGAGACATCAAATTCAGATAAGCGACCGATTTTCGCCATGATAAAGGGACAGGGTTTTCTTCAGCCACACTCACCCTCCAGCGATGCTGTACTGGCAGGATAGACTCTGACTTCAACGTCGTCGTCCCTCTTCCGGACTTCTTTTGGGTGAGTCTTTAAGCTTCCCTAGCTATCTAGACTAAATCCCACCTTCGTCGCCAGTGTTAAGTCCGGAGAATAATGGCGAAAGAGGCAACGCATGTTGCTAAACAGATCTTTATTCTCACTCTGTGACAACTATCAACCAACAAGAGCAGAGGCACGCAGGCCTCCTTTTATACCCCCAGATCCCCGGGCAATCTTAACCAATGGCAGGCAGTCTTTTCCCGCCTCGCGCATGCGCGCAAGGCCGGCGCCACTCAGTCTGGTCCCGGGCAGCTTTAGCAATGCCCGGGACTCTTGCATCGTCCCGAGCCTGCTTTTGCAGGCTCAGGACACAACAGTGGGGATTGCCAATTAGCATTTGTGAATGATCTTTGCTTCATTGCAAAGGATCTAGCACAGGTAAAGGAATTTGCTAATCAATTGGAGAAAAAGTTTGAATTGAAAAGTCTGGGTGAAATACAAAACTATCTTGGTGTAGAGATACAAAAAACTAAGAAAGATGGCTCCGTTCTCAGTCAAAGAAGGAAAACAACTGTTGGAGAGATACAACATGAAAGATTGTAATTTTGCTCCAACACCTATGAGCATAGATTTTCACAACACTTTGGGTGAGGACAAAAGTAAAGCCTGTGATCAGGAGATATATCAGTCAGCAATAGGAAGCCTGTTATATCTGTCACAGTGGTCCAGACCAGACATAGCCTGTGCAGTAAGCATTTTAAGTCGCTTTACTGCTACACTAATGCAGTTGCATTGGATGGGTGTGAAGAGAATTCTCAGGTATTTGAAGGGAACTGTGAATTTAGGTCTTCAAATACAGGTCTCTGAAGAATTAAAGATAAAATGTTATGTTGACAGTGATTATGCCAATGATGTGCAAACCAGAAAGTCCAATTCTGGGTTTGTGGTATTATTTGGAGGGACACTGATTGGATAGAAGTCCAGAAAACAAACAACTGTAGCTATTTCTACTGCGGAGACAGAATTTATTGCTTTGTCTGAACTTTGTTCAGAGGTAACCAGGTATGTACAGCTGTTAAAGGATTTAAACATAGAAGTTAAAGAAGCTGTAATAGTATTTGAAGATAATGCTGCTTGCATTAAAATGGCAACAGGTGACAGAGTGAAAAGTAGAAGCAAGCATGTGGACATTAAGTATTGTAATGTCAGAGAAGCCATCAAAAGTAAACTAATTCACTTGCTTCATTGTTCTTCAGATGACAATCTGGCAGATGTAATGACCAAGCCATTGGGTGGAGTACCCCATGGGAAGAATATTAAATTATTTGTTTTTTTAAAAAAAATATTTTTATTGAGTTTTATAAAGGTAATAAAGGGATAGGGTCAAAAAGGATAAGACAACGGGAAACATACAAAAGGGCTAGACCAAGGGAAAGGGGTAACACAAAAGTGGGATTAATCCCACAAAATAACATCGCTTCAGCAAGTCTACCAGTCCGGGTTTACATATTAAATCTTAATAATTACTCTATTATTAAACAACTTTCCATATAATCATGTAAATAACAAATTAGTCAATAAATCTCATTCATTTCACTACTTAACAATGCTTAGTATTAATTAATTAATTATAATCACTTTAAGATAATAATATATTACATATTAATTCTAGTTTACCATATTATTAAAGATCACAAATATACAAAGAGGAAGAAGAAGAAGAAATAAAAACAAGTTCATACAAGTAATCATGGAATATAAATACAAATTATCAATTATCTCTTTAAATTTCATAACATTTTCTCATTCTAGCGTGTTTCTAACCAATAATAAAATTTTCCCCATGTTTTAAAGTAGATTGTGTCTTCTTTCTCCTTCATTTCTAAAGTCAATCTACCCATTTCTGCACATTCGAGTATTTTTGTTATTATAGCCTGGTCAGATGGTAAATTTTCATTTTTCCAAAATTGGGCAAATATTATTCTTGCGGCTGTCAACACATGCAATATTAAATACTCATTCTCTTTTCCATAATTCAAATCTAATATTCCTAACAGAGTTCTGGTTTAAATTCTATCTGTATTTTAATCATCTCTTCTAGCCACATATGAATCTTAAGCCAAAACTTTTTAGCATTAGGACATATCCACCAGAGATGGTAATAAGTGCCTGGTTGTTGTTTACATTTCCAACACATATTTGATACATTTTTAAACATTTTCTCTAATCTAACTGGTGTCATGTGCCATCTATAAAACCTTTTATATAGGTTTTCCTTATATGCAGCTGCTTTAGTAAATTTAATATTTCGGTCCCATAGTTTTTGCCAATCTTCTAAATCTATAGAATAACCAAAATTCTTTGCCCACACTATCATTGTTTCTTTCACTTGTTCTTCTTCCATCTTCCAGTTTAGCAGGAATTTATAAAGTTTCTTAATCAGATTTTCATCTGTTTT